AAAGCGAGAAATCACCCCCCAGGGGGGATGGTCACGCCGCAATCCCTTCTCCTCCATTCTCCTCTCGGGATCTTGGGCATGCATGCACATGCATCCAGCTTGAGTCTTAAGCCACCAGGTCCGGGATGCGAACCGCAGTCGGCTACATGGGAGTCCAGCGACATAGCCATTCCGCTAACTGCTGGTCCCTATTGCATCTGTTTTAATGTTGCCTTATCATTATGTATTTGATTTCTATGGTTTCTTTCTTTTTTCTTCTTTATCAGTCTAGCTAATGGTGTGTCAATCTTGTTAATCTTTTCAAAGAAGCAGCTTTTGCTTTAATTTATTTTCTGCATAGTTTGTTTATTTTCTATTTCACTTATCTCTGCTCAAATCTTTATGGTTTCTTTTCACCTGGTATATTTTGGATTTTTTGGTTGTTGTTTTCCCAATTACCTGAGGCATGATGTTAGGCATCTGTTTTAATGTTGCCTTATCATTATGTATTTGATTTCTATGGTTTCTTTCTTTTTTCTTCTTTATCAGTCTAGCTAATGGTGTGTCAATCTTGTTAATCTTTTCAAAGAAGCAGCTTTTGCTTTAATTTATTTTCTGCATAGTTTGTTTATTTTCTATTTCACTTATCTCTGCTCAAATCTTTATGGTTTCTTTTCACCTGGTATATTTTGGATTTTTTGGTTGTTGTTTTCCCAATTACCTGAGGCATGATGTTAGGTTGTCTTTTTGCCACCTTTCCATCTTTTTCTTTTGCACACTAATTGCTCTGAATTACTGTTATTAATTCCCTCTTATGACTGGTTTTGCAGTGTCCCATAGATTATGGAAACTCATGTACCCATTATCATTTGTTTCTATAAATTTTTTTTATTTTAGACTTAATTTCTTCGGTAGTGAAGAAGTCATTCAGAAGTAGGTTATTTAGTTTCCATGTGTTTGTGTAATTTCGAGGATGTTTCTTGAAATTAATAGAACTTAATTCCATCATGGTCCAAGAAGATGCTGGATTCAGTTTCTATACTTTTGAATCTGTAAAGGCTTGATTTGTGTCCTATCATATGGTCAATCTTTGAAAAGATTCCATGCCGGGGTGAGAAAAATGTATATGTTGTGGATGTAGGGTGGAAAGTTCTATAGATATCTGTCAAGCCCATTCCATTTATAGTATTGTTTAGGTCCTGTATCTCTGCTTAATTCTTGTCTAGAAGATCGGTCTTAAGGAGATAGTGGGGTGTTGAGATCCGCAACAATTACAGTGTTGCATCCTATCTCTCCTTTTAGCTCCAACAGTCTTTCCTTCACATATTTAGGTGTTCCTGAGTTGAATGTATAGATATTTATAAGCATTATGTCTTCTTGACAAATTAACCCATTTACTACTATATAATGCCCTTCTTTGTCTCTTCTTATAGTCTTTGTCTTAAAGCCTATTTTTTTCTGAAAACAGTATCACAACTCCAGCCCTTTTTTATTACCATTTGCATGGAATATCTTTTTCCAGTGAATATCTTTTTCACTTTTAGTCTATGAATATCTTTGTCCATATGATGTGTTTATTGTAGGCAACAGATGGAGGGTTTCTATTTCTTTATCCATTCAGCCAGTCTGTGTCTCTTGATCGGAGAATCTAATCCATTAATGATCAATGTTATTATTGATATTTTCAGCTATGTTCCTATCATTAAGTGAGCCATTTTTCTTGGTTGTTTTTTGTTCTTTTATATCTGTCCTTCTGACTTTTTAGTTTTCCTAGTATAGCACTCCCTTCAGAACCTCTTGAAGAGCTGGTCTGGAGTTGGTAAATTCCTTCAGGTTTTGTTTATCTGAGAATGCTTTTTATCTGTTTTTTCCACAGGAAAATTAATCTTGCCCGGTATAGTATTCTGAGTTGAAATTGTTTTTTATTTAACACTGACTATCTTTCCTCATTCTTTCCTTGCCTGAATTGTTTCTGATGAGAGGTCCAGTGTTAGTCTGATGGAAAAGTCTTTGTGAGTAACTTGACGCTTTCCTCTTGCCAATTTTAGGATCTTGTCTTTTTCTGCGGTTTTGGCCAATCTGGCCATGATGTGCCTTGGAAAGGATCTTCTGGGCTTGATTGTATTTGGGGTCCTATATATTTCTTGGGTCTGGATATTTGAATGCCTCTCTGGGTTTAGAAAGTTTCTTCTGGGATTTCATGGAATAAATAATCAATACCCTTATTATTTCCTTCCTCTTATGGGATGCCAATTATTCAGATGTTTGGACACTTGATGGTATCTAGTATTTCTCGTATGTTATCCTCATTTTTCTTGGTTGTTTTCTGAGTCTTTTTGATCATTTTTTCTAGGTCAGAGGTTTTTGTCTTCTACATCCAAGATTCGATCTTCTAAGTGATCTAATCTACTTTTAATACTTTTGAGGGAGGTTTTAATTTCCTATATCACATTCTTTATAACAATTGCATTTGCTTCTTTTTTTTATAGTGTCTATTTCTTCTTTCAAACTGTAAAAGACTTCCTCATTTTCTGTAGCTCATTGTCTCTTTTCTCTTGCATCTTATTTAGTTTGGTCACTACAAATATTTTTCATTGTTTACCTGACATTTCCACCAGTTCCATTGTGCTCTCTGTGGGTGAGGAATTGATGTTTTCCCTTGGGAAATAGACATTTTGTTGGTTGCTCATATTTCTTGTCCCTTTGTTATAGTTCCTAGTCATCTGGGGATCTTTACATTACTTCCTAAATTATTCAAGGTATCTCTGAGCATTCAAAGGTGTGCAGGACTATGAAATGGGTGATCTCTCTACTGGTCTGCCTCCCTGTTGCTCACCAGCACCCTACACTGTTGTCACTGATCCTGGGTGACCCAAAGTTCTCCCTGTTTCTAGAAAGCAGGTGTGCCTGAAACTGAGAGGCTGAGCTTCAACTCAGTAACAATGAAGAGATCACGTGGTGCACAATACACATCTAGCTCCATGCTATACAAAACACTGAAGTCCTGAGAGTTCAAAGGCTAGTGGGGGAGGGGATGAGCCACAGGTCCCAGCAGTTAAGCCTTGCAATTCAGGCAGCCTGCCTTCCGGCAAAGCCCTTAACTGGAATGGGTGTCTGGATGTGTTTGGGAGGGGTGCAAGTTGGTCTCAAAGTCCCAAGATGCTTAGAGAATGAATGTAAATTAAGTTAAAAAGAAAAAAATGAAAGGAAAGATTCAGAAAAAAACAAACAAACAACTAAAACTGTTTTTCTTGAAATTAAAAAGAAATGTATTAAAAATACCTATAAGATGACTGCAGTAAGATATATAGCCCCAGCTAGGTGCTACTTTATAGGATGTTCTTTCTACTCACTGAGGCTTATGCCTAAAGTTGAATTTGTGTTCATGGAAAAGTATATATCAGCTATGCTTGCTATGAAAATATTTAGATTAACTAAGATCTTTAGTGACTCAATAAAATGTGGGGAAAAAAATGGAGGAGTCCGACCCAGTAGGGCCCCAGGATCTGTCTTGAGCTTTTGACCTCTACCTCTTAGGTCAGGTCAGCACGTTGGCAAGGCCACTGCTGTGTACCCTCCCCCTCCCCCCCCACCTAGGAATAAAACTTAGGTCGAATTAGCATGTCGGCAAGGCTGCTTGCTATTTGCTCCAGAAACTGTGGTATCCTTGCTGAGAAGCGACCCCCCTCTGACTCCCTGATATACTATAAAATTACATAGCTCTCTTGAGTATGTGATGAGATTTTCCCAAAAGTCCCCTGACCAGTCCCCTAGGCCCTGATCACCTACTGTTAATTACAATGCTTTATCTCCGTGGTCACAATGGACGGTGGACTGAAGTTCTATCTAGGAAGAAATAATCTTGACCTTTGGAAGGCCCTTCAAGATACATTTAACATAAACTTAAAGATAGTCTTTTCTTTACATAAAATAGGATTAGGCCGAAACTGGCCCAGGACACACCCACCCTCACCAAGTGAAATAGATAAATATATTAGGATTCCTTAAATTAAGTTTTAGATCCATATATAAAACTATATGAGTATCATTCTTTATTAAGATCCATAAGAACTAATGTCTATACTTGAGATTTTCTTTTCTCAGCATCGTGTTCAGTAATCACAAGATGACTGCCGCTGCATCAGCTGATAATTATCTCTGCTTACTGGAACTGCTTTCCAGAAACTACATTCCATGGAGACCCACCTACATCAAACGAACAACTGCAGAACCTCAATAGACCCACCCTTAATCCAACCCTGAATGGAATCTGTGATCCCTATTGAACTGATAATTAGAACATGTAGCCCCCTCACCCATTTACTTGCATGTATCACATTTTCAGTAAAAAGGCACGATAATTCCTGGCAGGGGTCACTCTTCAGAGAGCAATCTCTGAGGAGTGTCTGACTCAGGACGTGCATGAAAAGGCACCGAGGCCTTAGTCTTCTTCCTTTCCTGCGCTGCCTCTGATGAGTCAACCCACCCCCACCGAGGCTGGACACCGCAAAAAAAAGTATAGAAAGCAAAAATAGATACCAGAGACAGTGTGGGAGTAGAGTGGGAGAGGACAGAGGGTAAGAGATTGGGAATCAAAGATGGGGAAAAAAAGCAAAATATACAAGGAAACAAGAAATGGAAAATTATTTGTTGACAATAACATGTATGTTGCTTACCAGATGCCGAGGAATGGAAAGCAGCACTCTGAGAGATTAGAAGAACTATTTACTATGCCAGCAGGTGCAGAGGAGTTAACATTCAAAATCTCTGGCCCTGATTGGGAGTTGGGCATGGTCCTTTATGGGGGAATTGGGGAAAGGGAGGTCTTGGAGTGGGGATTGGGCTCAGATACCACCCTACACTGTGTCAAAGGGAGGAGTCAGAGAAGCAGGAAATCTAATCTATTCAAGGTACCAATCCATTTGAGGTACTAACCCACAAAAGGTTTTTAGGTTACCATGTAGCTCCAGGGAGGGGCAGTAAGTTGGCTGGAGGCAGAAATCTTAGACAGCTATCAGTCCTGAGTTATTAGTCATAGGAATTTAACAGTTTATAATGGAGACACTCCTCCAAGATAGAGTCTCACCTGCTTCATTCCCCACTTCTCTTTTATGGAGATCAAATAATTGATTCCTCAGTTTCAGCTAGAGGGTAGAATGATAGTCTCCTTTGTCAGGTAAGAAGTTTCACCTCATTTAAAGTCCAGTTTGAACTGACTTGGGCTGATTTCATGGTCTTCAATTGTTGGTCACAGTTACTCATGGTAGCAGTGTCTGGTTGGACTGGCTTGGGCTGTTAGTCATCATATGCAGCCACTAGGTTCAGTCACTTACAGGGAGATCATACTACAACACTTCCTGAGACAGTGCAAGTAATTTATGGAAGCAGAACAACATTTGGTTAGGTACTTATGGAAAGAACAAAATTTCTGACAAAAAAGAAACCATATCATTTTCTCTTTTGAGTCTTCTCAAATGCTGTTAAGAAAAGTCACCCTGGCAGTGCAGTGCCTGGTATATTTGGATCCAGAGGTAATTAGCATTTAATATTTAATGACTTTCATCCTGTAGGAGATGGATCAGGTAAGAAAATTGAGTCAACTAGAGCCAAAAGTCAAAATTAGAAGCATGGTTAATAGAGGACTTTAACAGAGGCAAGGGCTAAGGAGCCTACTACCAGAGGCCACTCTAACCATCCCATGAGTCAGCAGCAGCCTGTCTTTTCAATGACCATCTGGTCGTGGAGCTGTTGAGCCATATTCTTGACAATAAAAGTCCCGAGCTCCCTTAGAGTTCAGTGCATTCTGTCTCATCTCTTATTGGCCAACTCCACACTTGGACAAGGCCCCAGTGGGAGACATGAGGATACCAGTCATGGGCATTGTTCAGTGCCTGGGCTGCCCTCATTAGAAACAGAGTTTTCTCTGAGGCAGAGGTTCTGATCTGAACTGTTTCCAGATCCTACCCTCAGAGAAGTTCCCAGCTTCAGGATTACTACAAGTGACTACTGGGCACTGATAAAGTGAGAGTTAAATAAAAGATTAATGTGCCTTGCCAATTTTGTTATAACATTTTTCTGAGTTATTTGGGAACTTTTCTGCTATCTGTTCTGAATTGTCCCTACACTGAGAAGTGAACCTAAGTTTTAATAGCTCTTTCGAGGAGTGGCTGGGTCCTGTCAGGAGAACGAAATTCAGCTTACAGGCTTTACAAGGCATCTGCCTTATCGCCTATACAAAAAACAAAAAGCAAAAAAAAAAACCCAAAAAACAAAAAAACAAACCTTAGCCCTAATCTCAATGATTGTTTTTCTAGCTAGACCCCTTGATTATTTAACTAAGGGGAGAGTCCCGTGGGGAAGAGGCTTAACTAAAAGAAACGGAGTATAAGGAGGCAAAGGGTTTCGGGAGAGGGCAGCCTGGAGCTCTAGCCTTAACTTGTCTCACTCCATTCCTTGAGACTCCTACCCTATTAAGCTGTTAGACAAGAGTTTTCTTTTATTAATTTTTTTATTCATACATTAAATCACTACACATCATTTAGATTGTGAAGACACTTTTACCCAGCATGATATACACCTCAGTCCAGCCCAGTTGAGACCACCATACACATCCTCGTCAATAAATAATAGACCTTATCTGTGTCCCACAAGTGTCTTACCTCTCCATTTCCCCCCCCCAAGTTTCCTACACTTTTCCCCTCCCACACTCTCTTTCCACTTTGTCTCTAATGTCCATTACAATTTTTAATACTTTTTATGTTCTTTTATGTTTTTCAGTCTCTACCATAGAATTCGGACAGTCAGTATATGTTAAGTGGAAACATACAATGTTTCTCTTTCATAGCCTGACTTGCTTCACTCAACAAAATATCTTTCATATTTGTCCACTTTCTATCAAATTCTGGGGCCTTGTTGTTTCTCGTGGCTGAATAGTATTCTATGGAGTATATGTGCCACAATTTTTCAATCCATTCATCAGTTTGTAGACATTTGGGCTGGTTCCAAGTCTTAACAATCATGAATAATGCTGTAATGAAAATAGCTGTGCATGCACTTTTCCAACTGAGTGCTCTCCTGTCCTTTGGGTAGATACCCAGGAGTGGAATTGCTGGATCATATAGCAGTTCTATTTGAAGGTCTTTGAGGAACCTCCATATCATTCTCCACAGTGGCTGGACCAATTTACATTCCTACCAACAGTACTGATATTCTTTATTTGATACGATGTTATTCCCATCCTTTAGTTATTTAGAAATCATTTCTTTAAGCTCAATGAACATACTTAAAACAGCTTATTTATGGTTATGCAGTGGCATGGTAGTTAAGGTGGCTAGATCCCACATGCTCAGCTGTGTAGTCCAAATCTTGAAACCAGCAGCTTGAAAACAGGCTGGGCACATGTGAATGTGTGCCCAAAATCCTGAGAGGAGAATGGAAGAAAAGAGAATGTAGTATGGTCATCCCCCAGGGCGGGGTGGGATGGCAGTGTCTTTTGCTGTGCAGAAACTTCTTAATCTGATGTAATCCAACCTGTCTATTTGGGGGAATTGTTGCCTGTGCTTTGGGGGTCTTGCTAGCTTTTGTCTCAGATATATATATATATGCCCAATTTTTAATAACTTCCTATGCTTATCTTTTCCTCTTCCACCTTGGGAAATTTGATGTTTTTAGAGGAGCTATTAAGCTTGTAAAAACAGAACTTCATACATCTATATTAATCAAATTTTTGGATTTTCGGCAACCCTAACTTTCAGCATACACCAGCAGTTTATGAACATGTACAAACAATAACAAAATTTGTTTAACAACTTTTTCAGTATAAAACTGAACAATCTTACTAATAGACTCTCAATATTTTTTATAAAATTTAGAAACCAATAATAAGAATAACTAAAGCATATTAACTTAACGATAATTATAAAGAGGACTCAAAGGGAACCAGGCAATAAGGTTTCCTTGAGTCCATGTTTAACATTGGGTTTATATCCCTTTATCCCAATTTTACCTCTTTAACTCAGGTGCATTGCATTGGCTACTTAGCATGTAATTTTGTCAAACATTCTCTTACTTTTTCTT